ATGGAATGAATAATATAAACCAATTTAATAAGATGGAAATTGTCTTTTTATGGTAGTCTAGAAGACCAGCATATAATTCAAATTCAAGTTAAAATAAACATTTTGCCATTTCAGTTTGGCGCATTGTCTGCAAATTTGAAAATGAACAGTCCATTTCACATCCAATTTTCATTATCATTATGTCAGTGTTATGCTGTGGAGTACACTGAATATGACTTGTTAATGGAATTTTCCATTTCGTTTTAGGAAATTGTATTCTCTGTCTGAGTTCTTTACAAGTACAGGGAGCTGAGTCTATGTGCCACCAGGACACAGTGTATTGCCAATGAGAAGGTGGAGGATATTCTGTCCATGAAACAAAACTGAGGTAGCTTTATGTTTAGTATATATCAGTACACATCATATACTGTATGTCAGTATATGTGTTGGTATGTTAGTTCATGATATGGTGATAAGTAAACCAAGGCTACACTGGATTTGGGAGACACCTCAAATAAACTCACATCAAATTCTTTGATAGTCCTTACAAGAAATATAAGGCTGCATTTACTGCAAGCTGCAAATGTGCTTCTCAACCTTCAATCAAACCCAGTCTCACACCGAAATCATCAAATACCAGCGCTTGGTCAGTGACTTCCTTTCATGTCGGCATGATACGCAGCTGGCCTGTAAGGGGAAAACACAGCAGTACAACAATATAAGTTAAGGGAGCAGAATGTCCAAGTAGGGCAGGCGGGAGGTGTGGTGGATGTGTCCAACAACCATCGACTTTCACCTTTCACCCAACCACATGCTTTTGTTGCCTAAACCCAAACACGTGCGTGTGTTGGCTAAATGTAACCATGTGCGTTTTTTGTTGAAAGAAAACCATCAATTTGCGGCATTGTACTGACGTAGTACATTTATTTTGAAAGATACTGTATGCAAACTGTACATTACCTGTGAAAAGTGAAGTGTATTTTGAAAACAGACCATGCATGTAACGGGCTGAAATTGACACGGCGTCCCAGAACATCAACAACCAACGCACCAAGGGGACCTTGTACATCATATTTTCGACGTGGAAAATCCATGACCAAACATCGATATGTGACGAGGTTGGAGTGAGAATGTGTTGAACCCATCAGACTTTCTTATAGACCATGACCATTCCTGTCCACCTATTGTTTCATTGTAGCAGCTGTCTGGCAAACAGATAAAGTGAAATATTGTCTGCTTAGATAAAATGATGGCAATGCTTTCAGTGAGTGTTAATTATTGCATAAACTTTTGAAGTATTTTTTTCACAATTCCAATGTTGGCAGCTAAGCCCACTGAGGAACTCTGCTGGTGAATTAGGTCAATAATAAAGAAGAGAGATCTGCGATCTGCTGTAGTTGTTCTACTAATGAAAAATCTGTCCATTGTGACACCTCTGATGCTTTCAGCTGGCCTTTGAATTCTTGGTCTTCTGGCATATATCATGTCAATATTAATAAAATTAACTAATTACAAATGAAAATGAATGGCTTTTTAGGTGTGTATTTGGTTTGACCGCTTCCTGAACAGGCAGAGGTTAAATATAAACTGATTTCTCCCTCTTCATATGTCCAAAAGTACTCTGCTGTACTGGATGTAGATTGTTGCTATAAGCCTGCCATTGGCTGGCTATTTAGTCCGGCATTCTCCTCTCTGTCTGCTATCTCTACTATTTTTTGGGGTGTTTTCTTTTGCGGAGAATTAGCCATTTTAATGATGGTGCTTGCCTCCTTACATGCAAATAATCAACCAAAACAAGTTCCCTGTCATATTTCATAAGGGCACTGTTGCTCACCATTGTTGCATGCTGAGCTCTTCACCATGCCAGATGATTGTGATTGGTTTAAAGAAATATAAACAAACCAAAGCCTTTTTTCCTCTATAGCACTAGGATATTGTGTGTATCCAGACCTTTCTAGAGCAATGACACAGTGCTGAAGCAATAGGTCTGGCTGTGTGAGACAAGCCAAGACGAGCCAAGAAGAGCTGAATATGAGCTCCTGCAGTGCTGGACTACCTCTTGAAGCTCATGGAGAGAATGCCAAGAGTGTGCAAAGCAGTAATCAGAGCAAAGGGTGGCTATTTTGAAGAAACTAGAATATAAAACATGTTTTCAGTTATTTCACCTTTTTTTGTTAAGTACATAACTCCACGTGTTCATTCATAGTTTTGATGCCTTCAGTGAGAATCTACAATGTAAATAGTCATGAAAATAAAGAAAACGCATTGAATGANNNNTGTCTGTGTGTGTGTGTATATATATATATATATATATATATATGTATATAGCACTCAAACACAGTATTGTGGCAATGAGGCAAAAGGATAAGCCTAAACTGTATGTATTTACGGTAAAACTTCAATTAAGAGCCTGCACATACCTGGCTACACATGTTCACAAATAAAGAGCTGTGTCAATTTGATGCCTGGTCTGGTTGCCAAGCAGTTAATTTTTTTTATAGAAGTTTTTTGGACATATAAAAGCGGGTTGTTGGATGCCTCAAATTATGTGTCCATTCCTTGATTACCCTGTAAGTTATTCATATTCCTTTAGTCCGTAAGGTCCTCAGATCAAAAGAATCAAGTTTTTCATAAAAATTAATCCAGGTTGTGAATATTGTTTTAAACGATAAAATGGTGTTCTGTCAGTATGCTGGGTGCTGTAATCCTCGTGTGCCGTAATTCACTCTTTCTTTGATGCGCTGCCTTTCGGAGTTAGATGAAGTCAATGATTAATACTAGATATATTATCTGAAGCCTAAATTTTATATAAGTAATATTCATACTGGTTCAAATAAACAATTTGATTGTATTCCCCATCTTTGCTGAGCAACAGTTTTGTGTGAAAAGAATTAAAGGCCTGTCCCATATAGACAGCTGTTGATTTCAGTGATTTAAGCAAATAATAGCCTGGGCTATTCATTGAAGTTTTACGGGTAAGTTATGTGACTTATGCTTCAATATACAAACTGATTCATGCGCCACATTCTAAACTGAAAGAATGAGACACTTGAAGACATGACAGAAACAGGTGACTTTAGACAAATAAAAACTTTAACAAACTTAAAGAACCATACCACCCCATTTTCACATTTGAGCTCTAACTCCACATTATTATTTATACTTTATATTTTTACTACTATTTTCAGATCCAGACATTGTTAGATTTTTTTATGTATTTTGCCTACAGTTCCAGGCCTCCACTGATTTCCAGTCATTTCTGCACAGTATGAAACTGCAAGAAATGCAGTTTACATGCAGATAGATTTGGAAAGTTGGCACTGCATTACCTTATAACAATAATTTTGACAATAATTTATATAGATGATATTCACTTGATTAGGGGGTGCATCACCTCTAACCCCTAACCCCAAAGAGTTTTAGACCATGCTGCAATTGCAGGAAAAGAGTGGCCCCTTTGAACACAAAGTACATTCAAATTTCTAAAACACAGCAGCATGGTTTGCAAAATGCTTGGCTGTGACATTAAGTAACGGTGACATGTCTAAAACATGCAAACTTGCTTGTATGGTCCTTTAAAGTGTGTCTCTGACAGCACACAATGGGTCTGTTCACAGAAATCGGTTCAAATGATTCAAGATACTACAACTATACTAACCACTTTTGGACTTGCCTTCGCCAACAAAATACAACTATGATAAAAACTAAGCTCATAAGCTCTTAAACTTACATCTAATGAGAAAACCACAAATAACAGCTGTATTATACCAATATTTGCCAGGAAAGTGGATCATGAAAACATCCCTCTGGTTCTTTTTGTGGTCTGCACATACTGGGCTACACACTGTTTAGTGCTGTATATGTAAAAAAAAAAAAAAAAAAAAAAAAAAAAAGATGATCGGTGTATTTAGGTTTTGGACATTGACTGCAATGACCTGGAATGGATGTCAGACTTCATACACGGATTGATAAGAGGTTATAACAGCTCTGTATACCTGGGGCCTGGTTTGGTTAAGCAGGATGAAAACATGTACAGTCTCATGCCATGATTATCCCATTAACTTGTTTTGTGCTTTTCTCTCTTCTTGCCATCCTCAGGAAATAAAAAAGACATTGCACTTGTGACGTAAATCAAGAAAGACAACCTGAAACTTTCTTTTGTGCAGACATTTAATGTTTTAAAAGACACATGATTATCAATGTGTCACTAATCAGCTAAAATTCCTGAACACGGTGGATTTGACTGACAGCTTATCTACAGAATGTAGTGATGTCATTGCCTCTCACTTCCCTGAAGTCAAGCTGTTTGGGTTGGGAGTGTGGTGTAAATGGTATAGCTCTCCTTTTTGTCTGCAGTCTCAAGCTGTCTTTTTGCACTCTGATTCAGATCACTGGGGACGTATTTTCATTAATACACGGTATGTTGAAGTAACAGTTTGACTGGTAGAGACTGTATATAAAGATGGACAACTTGACAGCTCCCCAAAAGTGAAGCCAAAACATCTGGATCGCCCCCTGGTGGCTTGCTGCAATGTGGGTCATAAACCCTACCCCCTCTATGTTAGTGGATGGGTCATGGGCCAAACTAAAAAACTCAAAGTACACATCACATACATTTTTCCCAAAGATACTTTCTGTCATTTTAGGTAGTCTTTATCATGCTGATGTTTGTTATAAAGTCAGCAGAGAGGGCTTTTCGATGATCTTCTAGGAGGTTAGCTATTGTTGCCATGCTGAGCTTGTTGCTATAGTTAGCTTTACCAGGGGGTCAGCTTTAAGAGTCTCTTTTTTGCCGTGCTTGGCTGACTTTGGTGTCATATTACGGTGATCATTTGCCAAAAGTGATAACATCCAGCCTTTGGTTACAAGTAAAAACTGAATTATAGGGTTCTATAAAGTTAAGTACACAAAAGTTTCGGGAGCTAGTCTCACTGCGTGTCTACTCCATCATACCCAAGTATTCAGTTTTTCTGATAAGTTTGGTGTAACTAGTAATTTGATGTTAAAAAAAGGGGGGGGGGGGGGGTTGATGTCATGATTGACATCTGCTTGTGCCAATCAGTGTGCTCGCAATCAATGGTACTGCTTGAGATTGGGCAGGAACTCGATACCAGCAAAGATGGCTACTGCATAGACTCTGGCTCCAAATGACGTCACCATCCCAAGATGGCAGCGGCATTATCTGGGATATGTTGGCTTTGTTTTTGTACACTGGAGGTAAGTGGAAAAGCATTGTCCATCTTTATATACAGTCCATGGTCCAACACTTAAATTAGAACTCCTAGTATGTATAGTCATGAACCCTAGAAGATGACTTTGGTGACCCCCTGACCCCTGCCACCAGTCAATCAAAAATGTAATTTGACTAACATTTGGACATCACAAGGTATCTTGAAAACAAATTTTCAGAATTGAATTAAGTTTGCTCTTGATTTTAATGTCTCCACCAGAAATCTTAATGGTGAGGCCCTGATCTTCCCTCCCTTGTCACCACCAGGGCAAACCTTACATTTTCAGCACCATTGTTAGAATGTTGTTTATGACCTCAAACACCTCATCACATGATCTTGTCTCCAGGTGCCACTAGCAAGGCTTTAGAAAGTTGTTTCATCATCATCATCATCATCATCATCATCATCATCATCAGGTACTGTCTTGCCCTGATATAAGACACACCACACTGCTGATCTTGATCGGATCTGATGAAACCTAGTTCATTTTCAGTATGAACATTATGGGGAAAATGCTAAAAGTCTGAACTCACTGGATGACAGGATGGCTATAATTTTATGATCACCTTCAAAAGGTTTTCAGTCAGAGCCACAGCTTAGCTGAAATCCACCTCACTTTGATTCTCTGACTACCCTCTACCCATTTCTCCCTGTATAGTTCACCATCTGTGCTGTCCTAACTTCACCATTCACCATTTAATCCAAATTTACCATCTCCCCTTGTTTCTTTTCATTTGTTGCATTAATTTGAAAGGCAAACTCTTTTTGGTGAATGTCTTTGTGTTATTTAAACATTATTACCATGGCAGATAGAGAGGTGTGCAGTGTCATTTATATATCATCTGGCCACCAGTTACAGCACTGACTAGGCTGCAGCTGAGCAGCCCCCATTGTATGAGCGAGGGAGAAACATTGTGCCGTCTTTGTTTTACACAACTTGTGTTGACTTAAGTGAAAAGGACCTATTAATTCCTGTTGGATTAAATCATGTTTTGTTACTTGCACCAGCCTGCAGTTGCTTTTTGTTTTGTCTTTTTCCAGTCTGTTCTCATGCTGAAGTCGCCAAATACCACTGCTTTGTTGCTGATTTCAGCATCACACACTGATGCCACAAGCCACCTTTCCCCATAGTATGATATGCTGCCGGGCATCATCAGTTTGTAACCGGGCTGGACAGCACCTGTTGCAGCAGTATGATACACTACCAAGCATTGTCATTTCATAACGTGGCTGGAGGGCACTTGTATGATATACCACAGGACAGCATCAGATTGAAACACTACAGGTAACAATGTGATATGAGGACTTGGAAAGTCCCTATAGGGCATGCAGGAGTTGTGGTGGATGGGTCCAGGACCCTGGTGTTAGCTTCCTGTATGAATGTAGAGCCAAATCATGATGGGTTTTTTTTTTTTTTCAAACCTAACCACATGCTTTTGTTGAACTCCCGGCATTGGTTGTGGCATTCCAGAACATCAACAGCAGACTCAGGAGGATACCTAGCACGTAATATGTAGGCATAAAAGTCCACTGACAAAGCAGCGATATGTGACGACTTGGGATAAGAATGTGCTGTGTTTTCCTGCATTAAAATTCATTAAATGAAAATTTCAGGATTTCATCATTTACCCTTCCCAGAACCATGATATGTGTTATAGTGGTGGTCTTAAATTAAGCTTTGACAGTGGCACTTCAGTTAACCAAAAATCACTTGGTTAGCATTTCTCATTAAAGCCAGTGGACACAACCAGCACCATGCTAACATATGTTGTGTGGCTTGGTGTAACAAAGTTAAAAGCTGCTGGGAAACATTTTTCCCAGAAGGTGACGTGTGTTTATCAAAGATGGATGATAGCGATACACACACCAAGCACACGTCCTCCTGAGCTGCTTCTCTTGTTTGAACACCACACACACACACACGCATACACACACACACACACACACACACACACACGCCTTCATCGCCTATTGCCAACACATACACACTCACAGCACTAAAAACACAGACTCACAATGACTTCAGTACCCTCTACATCATCTCTAAAGTAAAAAATGCTGCATGTTGTATCAGAGTACTGTACATCCTGGTGGTTGGTTTAGTTTGGCTGAGATGGCTGCTTGCCTGCTTTTCTCTTCTTTTCCATCACTGACTCATTTCCATTTCCTGCATCATCCTCTCTTGTCGTCTCCTTTTCATTGCTATCTGGCACTTTGCTCATTTCTTCTGCTCTCCCCTCCACATTTGCCTCCACAGATAAGCAAAGATCAGTATCGCAGCACAGCCAGGTTGATGTGGCTGGACTGAAAATAGTTGAGTTGAGCTGCCAGGAAGATTTTTTTTTCTTGGCATTGTGGGAGTTTGACTTATATTTCCTCATGGGAGAAAGGCAGTGAGCTTGTGACTGTTCAACCTTCACCGCTTCTTTCTCTCTCCCTGTTCTTCCTTCCTGCCAGGTTTGGTTGACTTTATCCAAACAAAACACAATGACTGAGTATAGATGCTACTTTAACCATTGTCTTCATGTAGTTGACTTTCTGTCTGACCTTCATCCACGATAGACCATAGTTATCCAAGAGGAATCAAATGTCTAGGCCAGAGGAGAACTTTTTGGACTTCCCAGCCATCTCAAAAGTGGTCCTACTCCTCAGAATCTAGAGGACATGTCCAAGGAAGCTTTTTGGCACTAAGAGAACAGGAGCGATGAGTTATCATGTGGATGTTGATGGAAGTAGTAGTTGTGGCTGCTATGGGATCACATCATTAGAACTTTCAAACAGTAGGTCACCAACACATTAAGACAGATATGACAGTTTTAAGTCTTTGCTGACGCTGAATGAGGGATTGTTTCCTTTTCTCTTCACATTAGAGGAATTCCTGTATAATTCAGGTGTCATTTAGGTTAAAGTGGAATATCTGATGACTTAAAACCCATCTGAATGGACATGGACCTATGCTTAATTTATCCCTAACTTCTTCAGACTTAAGCAAATAATGCATCAGCACCTTGTACTGTCTGAGTAGAGTGTTGAGGCACTCTGCTGATTTGCATTTAGTTCATACCAGATGGGATTTCCCTGATGAGTGGAAGTAAAAAATAATAGCAACCACCCTAAAAAGAACACAAACACATCCGGTGACATCAACTGCACTTGCGCCAAATTGCTCCTTAGATCACTACCAACAGGGCTGTATGCTCCTGGGTGGGCGCTAATGCTAAAGAATAGAAAAAGAAAAATGGTAACGACAGATGAGAAGTGAGATTGTTGGTAGTAACAAATTCTTATTGCCACAGTCCCTGTTAGTGTTCATGTGATAGCAGAATAAATGGTTGCACTCCTCTGTGGGTTCCGAGGGCAGGGTGGAACTATAACGTGGTCTCGTATTCCAACCTCTCCTGCACCAGTGCATCATCTTTGTACTGCAGCCGGGGAGGAGTCAGCGAGCAGTCTATGGCCAGGATTGCCTTGCGTATACTGCGGTCGAGTACATGACGCTCCCAGGCTGGGTAGCGGTTCCTACAAAGGTCGATCTTGATGACGGTCTCTTCAAGGCGTGGAGCACGAGACGATGGCGTGGATGGCACTGTGGGTCGGACCTGAAAAACTGGCATGCAGCCATCCCGCTCAGAATACTTCCCCATGTCACGCTCCAGGGTTGTGGTGGCACCTCGGTTGGAACGTAGTGAGTTGGTGGCACCTTCAGATGGTAATGTAGAGAACTGAGAGGTGGGGTCCAGGTCGAGACCCTGGCCACTTGGCGAACGCCCAAAGCGTGGCCCATTGGGATGGAAAAAGGCATAGTACATGAGCATGAAAACCACGCCAGTGAGGAAACTGCTGAAGATGACACAGAGTGCTGGCACTGCAAAGGCGTCAGTGGTGTGAGGCGATCGGTAGAGATACCACAATGCACTGAGAGCAGCATTCTCCACCAAAATCACCAGGTAATAGATGAAAAGTCGACACCTGCACAAAGACATAATAAAAGAAATGAATCAGATAGAATGAAACCAAAGCATGAAGCAGCTCTCCAGTATTAGCAGGATGGGCAAATGTGTGGATGTAAGTGCTTGTATTGTACTTTGACAGTGTGCAGTAAGGATGGAGGATATGCTAATCTGTTAGTCCATCCCTCCAACATAGTTTTCTCCACAACTGCTGTCCAACTTTATATCCAAAGGATAGGATTCCTAATGTATTCGGTGATCCCTTGATTGTTCCCTTAGTGCCTCCATCAAGCCAAAACATTTAATAGTTTAACTTAATATCTTTAAAGATGTAAAAGATTTACTCTTTTTATTAAGGACACTCCATGAGCTTTCCTTTAAGCCCCATTTCCACCAAGCAGTGCACTACGGGTTCAGTTCAGTATGCATTTTTCCCGTTTCAACTGTGAAAAGTTGTGGATGGTACCAATGGAACCATTCCTAATCGTCCCCATTTTTGGTCACCCCTCTGTTGGGGTACCTCGCACACAGATCTTGTACTGAGTGTTTAAAAATGTGAAGTGCATATATTATAATTCTCACTTGGAGAAAAGAAGCATTGTAGGGTGTCATTCCTGTGAACTACATCAACACTAAACCCCTGAGGTTGCCTGAGAAGGACTAAATGCTATTTTTAAATATCCCATGGAGAGAGTCTCTCACTGCAGCCTGTTCTATTTTGTTCTGAAAATGTCAGCACGCAACCCCGTACTGTGGACAGTGAATGAGGTGCAGACTTCCCTCTGTGTCACTGGTGATGAGGAAATACAGTAAGTGCTGGATGGAGCAGTGAATGACAAGAATCCCGCCCACATTTAGGAGTATTGTTTGCAGTGGAAATACTTAACGGACCTAGGGTCTAGGTACCATGTCCGAAGGGTTACTTTTGGTTCCAAAGGTACCATACTGAAAGTGTTTGGTGGAAACAGGGCTTTAGTACCAACACTGGTTGAAATGTAAAAGTTGTATACAAAACATCGATATTGAAAACATAGCGGAGAGACTAAATTTTCGAAGGTTGTTGATGGTCTCCAGAGGATAATTCCCTGACTGTGATAAACCCCACAACTTAGGCCAGTAACAGGCACATTAACAAGAAATTGGCTAAGCACTTTAATGCTCCCAGAGGAAAAAACATCTAGCAGTAAGGCTTTTTTTTTTTTTTTTCCTTAAATGTCAGGAGCTGAAAAGACTATGTGGAGAATCATCCAATACCGGCGCCCTTGCCTTGTGATGAACCAACAAATTACTACCTGCCATTTCCATCAGCTCTACCCTCTCTTCTTTAGAATAATTGATCAGTTAATAAATGATGTGCCTTGATTCAGTAAACATATTACAGCCACAGCAATCTGGTTTTTGCCTGTGTCATAATAACACAGTAACACCTTACAATTTCTTATTCTTATTTATTGGGCCTCATTCACCAACTGTTCTTCCCCGTGGTGCTCATCTTTGTCCTCAGTCCTGACAGCTGTGCATAAAGTTTGCCGTTTGCCGGTCAGGTGGTTGATTAACACACATTTTTAACATCCCATGCTTTTTTGTGTGATTTTATATCCACTCCTACTAAATATGACAGCTTGTTTCCTCTTCTTCTTCTCCCTCAGTTCCTGTGTGTGCATGGCCCTGCAGTCTCATGCCCTTTTATGGGGATTTGTGGGCATTTACCTATGCTAATAAGGATTAACTGGCATGCACTGTCAACTTTTGAGGACAATGGGATTCATCATTATAAGAATAGAGGTGCGAACAGTTCTGGGGTTTAAGAACACATCATGAATCTGACAGACTTTTCATAGGAACCTTTCTTGAGAAAAAACAAAACAAATTTAAAAAAAAAACAGAAGATATTGGTGAATGAGGCCCGTTGTCTCCTCACTGGATAAAAAACAATTTTGTGCTGCCCTTCTTACTGACCTCTCAAACTCATTTGATACCGGTGATCATAAAAACCTCCTCCGCAAACTACAGTCTATAGGTCGAGATGAGGCCATGCTTAACTTATCTGTAACTTAACTTACAGAGAAAACTCAGAATGTTATTGATGATAATACTCACTCAGGTCATCTTACCATCAGAAATGGGTTGTCACAGGGGTCTATCCTTATGTCCATTGCTGTTTACATTAAACATAAATAACATAATTCTTTCTCATCAATACTTCATTGGCCAGTTTTTTGTTGATGATACCATTTAATATGCTCCAGGCTCCACCCCAGCCCAGGCTCTACCTCCACCAGTAACTCTGACCTTCCTGTCATTTAAAAGTTTAAGTGGCACCCATATTACTCTTGCTACTCTTATTGCTTACTTCAGAATCTGGCTTGACAGTAGACTATCATTCAAGATTCATATTCAACATTTGACCCAAACAATAAAAATCAAACCAGGCCTCTATCTCTAGTATAGAATTAAAGGATGTATGTCTTTTTCCAACTGTAAAACCACTGTGCAGTCAACTCTCATGTCTGTCCTTGAGTCAAACTTGATTCTTTAAACCTCCAGGAGATTTTAAAGCTTTATTATCTGATGTTTTTTTTAATGATTCTTGTAACGTTTTCTTGTAATTGCTTTAGTTGTTGATATTGTTATATTTCAAAATACTTTCAAAGCACATTCAGGTAGTGAATACTTAAAAATAAAAGATGAAATCTAAAAGATTACACCCATACTATCAGTGATTTTAATCCCTACATTCCTTCCCAGCTCATCGTAAATCTGTTTTAAGCACCACAGAGCTGATTGAACTTAATGTGCCTTGTCTTCAAAATAAACAATAATAAACAGAATAATAAAGAACTTCAATTAAATTAAGATAATACCAACTTCTGCCCTCCAACAGGTGATTCAGAGTCCCCCCATTTAAATACAACAGGCTGAAAATTTGGTTTATACACCAGTCTATCCTGTTGCTAAACCAAAATCAGTGTACTGCTTATTGAGATCTGAATCTGAGGATATTATGTGATATGTTCCATGGTCATGACTGTTTGGTGTGCTTTTTATGGGAATGTGCTGTTTGTTAAATTGTATGTCTGTCTGTGAACTTCTTGAGTGGAGGTGTCTAAGGATGCAAAATGAATTTCAATGTGAACTGACAATGTTGTAGTTGTTGGTGTAGTTGTATGGTATGGTATCCTAATAAATGTATTAAAAAAAAACAAGCCACTGATGCAGATTTCTTTTCTTCAGGTCTATGTCACACTGATTGACAGAGTTGAGTTGAACTTTATCACCTTGTTCGTCCCTCCTTGACGTTGAACCAGGAAAATATGTAGATTATGCCCACCACCATGTCAAAGACAATCTCCTCCCACTTGCTGATGCAGAAGTCTGTCTCACAGTGGACAATCCAGAAGGTCATGATGCACCAGTGCAGGACGATGAAGATGCCAAAGTAGAGTTGAAACACAGAGGCAAACAGGGCAAAGGTGATGACCCTTGCAGCGATCGTGAAGAAGTGCCAGCAGAACTGGATGATGACAGCCAGGTAGCTAATGGGCTTCTTGTCATCGCGAGACTCTCGCAGGGCCTTCTGGTAGGAGGCCAGGGCCCAGGCTAGAGAGACAAGGGAGGCTGCTGCTGTCATACCTGCAAAAGCACGCAAACAGAGACACAATGGGTTTGATTCCAGTGCCACCTCATGGGAACAAACACTACAAGCAGGGGTAAACTATTAGCCTAGAGCATTTTCTTTGATTATATTACATTCATTCATTCATTTTCAGTAACCGCTTATCCTGTTAGGGGTCGCGGGGGAACTAGAGTCTATCCCAGCTGACGTTGTGCGAGAGGCGGGGTACACCCTGGACAGGTCTCAGCTCTACCTGCACCCGTGCATGTAATTTGATACAGAAAATATGGTGTTGTAGGGCTGGCAAAGCATTAACCATGACTCGCAACTGACACTTTTCCAACACTCTCACACAAACTATAAGTGATGCATAGGTCAGGGTTTTCGTAAGCCTGCACCAACCCGACCCGTTATGAAAGTCAGTCTGCCCCGTGCAACCCACAAACATGTATGTTATTCAGTAACCCGAAACTGTCCTGCAAACTGGGGTTGAAAGTTTCTAATGACCATCACTGATAAAGACCTACTTACTGTTGGCTACATTGTCACTTCCAGTAATTTCCACAATATAACATGTTTTCTGTTTATAAAGTACAAACACAGGAAGACAGCAAGTAGCCTACTCACCCATCTTTTAAGTGGTTTCATGCTTGTTGTGTTAGGTATACAGAGGGAAATATTTTTACTGGGCATTATGACAGATTTAAATATGTCAGACTTCTGCAGATGGAAAGCCTGAGTGCAGTGAAGCCGATGATAAAGCTGCTTGTTGTGTGAGAGAGACAGAGAGAGAGGAAGATAGGGTGGAAGTAGGACAATTGCACAATGTTTCGGTAGGTTGTTAATATCTCACCAAGAAAACTGCTTTGTCACTTAACGACCCACCTGCCTGACACCCATGGTATTTTCTAACAAGCTTACCTGAGCCACCCCACCTGCGGAGCGTCAAGTATCACATGTCCATTTCCTCACCCAATGAAAAACAAATTCATGTCGCAATAACGTTGCACGAAAAGGGGACACTGATAGTGCACAGACAGGCAAGACAGAGCAGCATAGTTCAACAGCAGCTCCGTAAAACACTGTTTTTAAGTTGGATATTGAGCTGGCTTATTTATGCTTTATGTTAGATACGTATGTGGGCATGGACATAGCCTTCTTTCCCCAGCCTCTAAGGGCCTAATGAGACCTGAGCTTAACTTCACTCTTCTGGACAGAGACCTCAGATGTTGTGCCTGGAATCTGCTGGAGCCACTCTCCCAGTTTAGGGGTCACAGCCCCAAGTGCCCCAATTACCGCTGGCACCACTGTTGCCTTTACTTCCCACATCTTTTCTAGCTCCTCTTTCAGCCCTTGGTATTTTCCGAGCTTCTCGTGTTCCTTCTTCCTGATGTTGCTGTCGTTCAGGATTGCTACATCTATCACCATTGCTTTCTTCCGTTGGTTGTCCATCAACATAATGTCCGGTTGGTTAGCCATCACCAGCTTGTCAGTCTGGATCTGGAAGTCCTAAGGTCAGGATGGAGGACACCAGATTCTTTTGGACATCCAGATCCAGACTGACAGCCCATACTCAGAGCAGATGTTCCTGTACACTATGCCAGCCATTTGGTTATGGCGTACTTACACCCTGCTATTATGTGCTGAACTGTCTCAGGAGCATCTTTGCACAGCTTGCACCTGGGGTCCTGTCTGGTGTGGTAGACCCCTGCTTCTGTTGAGCTTGTACTAAGTGCCTGTTCCTGTGCTGCCATGATTAGTGCTTCTGCACTGTCTTTCAGTCCAGCCTTTTCCAGCCACTGGGGAGCCACAGGATTTCTTGATGTCGGCCACTTCTTCAATCTGTTGGTGGTACATGCTGTGCAGGGGCATGATGGTTTATCCTCCTCTTCTGCACTCTTGGGTTTCTGCTGCTTGATGTATTAACTTAGCAGCTCATCTTTGGGAGCCATCTTCCTGATGTTTTCCTGGATCTTGATTGTTTCGTCGTGGACAGTGGCTCTGACGCTCACCAGTCCTCAGCCCCCCTCACTACGCTTAGTGTAACAGTCTCAGGGTGCTGAACTTGGGATGAAACCCTGCATGCATTGTGAGAAGCTTCCTTGTTATGATATCAGTGGCCTCTATCTCCTCCTTTGGCCTGCTTATTATACCAGCGGGGCATATATATTTATATACACAATACATATTTTATAATTGCACCGCCACTATTTGACCAGGGAAGTCATGGAGGTGTTTTGTAATTTCTCATTTACAAATCAGATAGCTGTAGCGTCATGAGCGGGCTGTGTGCTGAGGAAGAGGGAAGAGCAGGCAGCCAGAGAAGACCACAAGCCGGTAAGAAACCCTTCTGCTGCTGTAAAGGAGGACGGAGGACTGGGTGCTGAGGTAGAGGGAAGAAAGAAGTGGCGCTGACTTGGAGAAGAGCAGGCAGGAGGTGTTTGTGGGTTTTTAAATGAAAAGACTGACCTTTTCGTATTGCCACTCTGTGCACAGGCCCATTTGGCTTGCCTTGACAACTTGACTTGTTGAAATATTGTCTGATATTGATAGGTTTTATTTTCTGTTTACTTATTACTGTTGCTGTCCATTGAGGGAGGGGTTCTGAATTAATATTGCCATGGCATAGTGCGAAGGGAGGGAAGGGCCTACAAAAAATCCGCAGGCCCAGGGCCTAAAGTAATATTAGGGCACCTATGGGTGGAAGTGGAAGTGAGAAAGTGAGAAATTGTGCAAAATTAAATTAACTCCTCTAAATATAAAACATCCTTAAAAAAAATTCTTAAAACAAGGTATTAAAAGTATGCCAGTTAGGCTTTAGGTTAAGGGTTTGAGTAAGGCCTGTAGTTGTGACGGTTAAGGTTAGGGTTGACGACTAGGGAGTGCATTACATCAGAGACAGTCCTCACAAGTATAGAAAGACAAGTGTGTTTTTGTGTGTGCTTGTGAGTAAATGTGTTACCTTGCACAGCCTGGAGCTTGTGTGTCTGTATAATGATACACAGCTGCAACACCAGTTGTGGAGCACTCTCCAGAAAGGTGGCCAGTAGATGCAGCATGCTCACATCTGCAAACTCATAGACCATCCTCCAGTAGTAACGCCAGCGCTCCGTCTCAGCACTCTGACGACTTCTAACGCCCAGGTAGATGGTATGAAAATACCTGGAGGAAATGGAGAAAAGAATGCTTCAGCATCAACCAGACAGGACAAAACATTACATGTAACAGTGCATCAAGAAGGAGGAAGGCACAACACACCAAACGTTTCTCTACTGATTTTTTCTCACCATTTTGTTTTTGATTACCTGAGCAAACATAATCAGGTATTCTGATCAGGTTGGTCACCACAGCTTAGCAAATGTTTTCCCCACTTAAACAGTTTTCTACTTGTATCCATATATAAAACACAGTTGGTTCAGTGCAGAGTTACATCGGAAGTTGTAAGCAAATGCTGGCATAAACACAGTAAATCACTGGAACTGTAACAGTCAGGTTGCACAAAAACTCCTGGTTGTGATGTGGCTATAGTACAGCAGGCCTGAGAGCTCAACACAATGCAAATTAAGAAAACACATGCAAATAAAAAACGCAAGTACATTAGGAAAATGGTTTCCAGGAGACGTTAAAAAAGTGATGTACATGGCTGTGACACGCTTACATTCATGCAGATATCTGCTGTTAACCTAGTGTTTGCCTGTCCATTCAAATAATCAGATGAAATACATACAATTAATTTTAAAATATACTGTAAGTTATGTGAATAGCATCGCTGCTTTAAAGTTCCCCTCCAGTCATATTTTAAAGTACATAAAAAAATCTCTGTCTGTTATGATTAATATTTTTTCAATGTGCTCTTCCTACATAAGAAGGGAACAAATCTCAGTATATAGACAAGGTCAGACATTTTAGGGAACATAATTTTTGAGTGGAGGGGGATTTTAAGGAATAACTTACTGCATGTATGGGTTTAGTGAGCTTGTGGTGGAGAGTGATGGTGCTCAGGTGATGGAGTGATGGAGTAGACAGGTGTTGGAGATCGGGGGAGAGAAAAAATTAACAGTGAAGCTGTCAAGTCGTAGTGAGTGTAGAGTGTGGGTTTCACCTTGTCTGTTAATAAACACTGCTAAAAAGACCCAAGTAAAGTTCCTGTGTCTTCCTTCCCAGCTCCTGAGGAAAGTGAAGGGGGTTAGCCCCGAAGTCAGCACAAAACTTCGGCCCTGGCTAACACAGGCTAACGCTATGTTAGCTGGCTTTAACTAGTTAACTAGTTTATCCCGCAGTGCTGGTCCTGGTTATTCCATGCCCGGCCTTTGATCCAGGCTTCTTACCCAACTTAAGTTTGACAATAGGGTGAGATCACTAAATTCTTGTCACATATAGATGTTTGGTCATGGACTTTCCACATCCAGATATGACATGACAGGACATTCTGGGACGCCATGTCAGCCTCAGCCTGTGAACCTGTATTGTCTGTTTTTTTTAGAATACACTTCCATTTTCACAGGAAATGTACAATTTGCATACAGTCTCTTTCAAAATAAATACACTACATCAGTACAACACTGCAAACTACGTTTTTTTTTCCCTTCAACAACCAATGCACGTGGTTAGGTTTTGCCAACACATACATGTGGTTGGGTTTAGGCAACAAAAGCACGTGGCTGGGTTTAGAAAAATAGAACAGGATTTGGCTTTACAATTATATGGGAAGTGAACAATGGCCTCCTGGGTGAAAGTGGGAGGTTGTAGGATCCATTCACCACCCCTCCCATCTGCCCTACTCAGACTTTCACCCCCTTATCTTATGTTGCTGTTTCATTGGGTTTCCCCTGGATGCTGCCGGGCACCATTACACAATAATGGCAACCAGCCACATATCATACTAGAGTGAAAGGAGGGCTTTTTTTTGTCTGCGTCTGATGACGGAAGTCACTGCCCAAGCGCCGGTATTCAACTACTTTGGAGTGAGACCGGGTTGCTTTAGCTCTCAACTCAACCTTATTTAACCTTAAACCTATTTTAAGTTAACAACTGGAGGAAACAGTGAGAGCAGATTTCAAACTGACACACAAAACCTGCATATTTACCAAACTTAGTGATTTCTTGGATCTCTCTAATCCTGATTTGTAGATGAAGCACGGCTGGAATTTTGCTTTTTGTCTAGAACACATTTTAAAAGTGGCCAAGTGCATTTAAAGAGGAGGAAAATATCATCTATATGGCTCATTGCCTGAGCCGCACACATACTGCAGCTACTGGCAATCCAGCTCCAACTGTACATCTCCAGACCTCAGGCAAGAGCTCATTTAATGGAGTGAATTCATTATTACTTTTCAGTCTGTCTGTGGCCTACATTTTTATGTGTCTCTCTCTGTCACTCTCTCATTCATTTCCATTCTCTCTCTTCCTCTATCTCTGGAATATCACCAACACATGGCAGTCATTTAGCAGCAGGCTAATAGGCCGTGAAATGAAGTTCCATTATCAATAAAGAATTTGAAAATTAAATCTGGGCTGAGGGCATTAAAGCTGCAGCCTGTACATGGACAGATGGACATGGCACATTTTTTACTACTTGCTAGTATTTGAGCAAGCAAATCTGGCTACTTATATGAAATGCATTTTATCCAGTGGGTGTGTAGTAATGCATTACATACCCTGTACATACATGCAAAAATGTTTCCAAATAAAAAAAAAAAAACCTTTCTAAGAGTTGTTTTGCAGAATACTTTTTACTTGAGTAATTTGCAGTAAATTATATGTACTTCTACTTGTTACATTGGGCTACACAATTTACATTTACTTGTAAATAATTGAAGCACAAAGATCATTTAAATCAAATATTTACATAATTTTCTGCCGGGGGACCATGTTCCCGGACCCCCTTAGAATGTTCGGACTCCCCATATTCTCCAAAAATCCTGTGGGAAACACTGACGTAACTAAAAAGATCCAATTGAAAAAGATATCCACTCATTTCTCAATAGTATTAAACTTTCCACTGCCCTCAAACTTATGCCAAACAATAAAGCACCCAGTCCTGATGACTTCCCTGCTGAGTTCTATAAGCACTTCTGGGTCATCATAGCACCACTCTTTAATCGAATGATAAACGAGATTAAACAATATTCAAGACTTCCTGAAAATATGAACACAGCCACAATCTCACTCCTCCTAAAGCACAACAAAGATCCAACACTTCCATCAAGCTACTGTCCCATCTCCCTTATCAATGTAGACATATAAATCATCGGCAAGGTACTAGCCCCAAGAATAGAAAAAAGTCACCACATCCACAATCCATCGAAGACACACATCCAGCAACACCCGCAGACTATCTAACCTCATGCATTACCCATCACTACAACAACCAGGAACCATCATAGCCAGCCTTGATGCAGAAAAAGCTTTCGATAGGGTAAACTGGAAATTTCTGTTTGCCATGTTGAGGAGATTTGGCTTTGGGGAATCATTCATTAATTGGATCAAGATTTTCTACACCTCACCTTCAGCAACTGTCATCACCAATGGACTAACATCACAAAATTTCACACTGCACAAGGGGAGTAGGCAGGGATGCCCACTTCCTCCCTGTTCACCATTTTCACCAAACCATTAGCAGCCACCATCTGTCAGAACGCCCGTATAAAAGGAAACCAAACACATAACACACATCATAAGATCAGTCTTTATGCGGATGATATTTTGCTATTTCTGTAAGACCCCCCCTCATCATTATAAGAAACAATAAATCTCATCGAATCATTCTCCAAAATCTCAGAATATTCAGTTAATTGGAATAAACCAGTAAAAACCACCAGTTCCTTTATGCACAAATCATATCAGCTATCTAGGCATCAACATTTCCCCCAGGCTGTCAGAGCTGTTAGACCTCAACTTTACTCCACCACTCAAAAAAATAAATGATGACCTCCAGCGTTGGATGAACCTACCATTATCCATTATGGGCAGAATATCCACCATCAAAATGACAATACTTCCAAAAATAAACCTTGAAAGAAGAGTGCCGAAAAATATAGAGGTACTCAATGGTGATTTCTACGTCCGTTAGAGCCAGAGTTATACAGTTAGAGATCCTCCACAGAGCTTAAATCACACCCTCCAGAATAAAGAAATCTATTCTCAATGATCCCGACCCAATCCACACTCAACTGGTTTAAATCTCTAGATTACATAATCTACAAATTCTACTGGAAAAACAAAACACAGAGAATTAAATGAACCACCCTACAAAAATCAAAAACACAAGGTGGACTGGAAGCTCCACATTTTTACCACTACTCTCTGGTTAACCAGCTTCAATACATATTCAAATGGATTCACCCTAACTCATCAGACAGCATATGGTTAGATATTGAACAAACACTTTGCAAAGATATCTCAAATTCAGACCTACCATTACTCAGTCAGACAATCAAATGCCATTCATGTTTCAAAATGTTAACAATAGCAGCAACTCTGACAGCCTGGTGGAAATTTCACCAAATCACAAACACCCCCCTTACACCGTCCAATGCCGACTTCTGGACCCAAATCTGCAAAAGCATCTACTTCATGACTAAAAATGCCAACCTACAACTCATACAATATAAGTTATTCCACAGAACTCACTACACTGGGCAAAAAAACATTTAAAATGGAATTTGGATCAGAAACCTGTTCACACTGCACACAAAACATCCTTGATAGCTATGTCCACGCCACCTGGCACTGCACTCCATTTAAACAATTCTGGAAAGACATCAACAAGTCATTATCCCTGTTCCTGAGCTGCCACATCCCTTTATCCCCTCTGTGCTTACTTGGAGACATTTCAACAACCAACCTGAATAGTAAGGAACAAGGGAATAAAGTAATGCAAATGTATATGGGTGGGTATGGTTCTATGCGTATGTATGTAGGTATGTGTATATGTATATGTGTCATTATTGTCATTATTGTTATTATTACTATTACTATTATCATCATCATCATTATTATTTATTTATTTTTCTTTCTTTGCGCTCAAATCGGAATCAAATAGCCATAGAAATGTTATTGATGAGAGATTAATGTTTGTTTGTTTTGTTTTTTGTTTTGTCTGTTTTTAGTTAGTTTCTTAAATGTACATTTCCATCACCACAACTCTTATTTTATTTAAC